CTCCTTCTTTTCTGGTAATTATCGAATAGAATTATGGGTAAATTACCCGAGTATAATCGAACAAATAACGAGCAAAGCGAAGTGAATACGAAAATTCCCTGTTTTTGAAATAGCCGCCATGTTGTGACGTCACATGGTTATCAAATCTGATAACGATCCCGGACTGTTAAAACAAACAAACAAACAAAAAAAGAGCAGTGAAGGAGAAATGCATTCATTTATACCATGCTGAACCTTTTGTCAAGATCTTGTCCAACGATTTTTAATAACTAGAACGAAATATGCAAAAATTTGTGTAACTCGCAATGTTTATGTTCACACAATTAATTCAGTAATTGACTTTGTATACATACGGCCAGTCGGCAATAACGAAGCGAAAAGACGAATTTTTCCTCGAATGTACTCGTGTTCATTGACATTTTTATAACTCCTCAATAGTTGTAAGTTAACTCTTCATCCATGGTTTTAACCTATATAAGCCAAAAGGGCCGGCAAATTGTCGATTGTGACTGGCAGTGTGGCGGGCTCGACTTGCGACCCGCACTTCGAAATCGAAAAAATATGTATACATCGTAGCCATGCTAATCGTGGCTAGACTTCGAATTGTACTGCTAGATGATACAGTTCTTTCATTTAAAAGTCTTGTCCATTTTCGATAAAATATGAAGCACAAATACCCCAAAAATGTTTTCACAGCGCTCGAAACCCAGTCAAACGTCTCTTGAGTGTTTTGAGCCATGTCCTTCGATGACGTCAGAAGAGGCCCGACCCAGATCCCGCCATGCTCGGTCGTAGGGCAAGAAATTACAACTTTAAACGCCTGTAGAATCGCAGGGATTGTATCAATCGAGATAATTTTTTCGCTGAAGCAATATAAAAAACTAGTAGTTTTCATTAAAGGAAAGAAAAAATTGGTGGTTAGTTGCACTTTCATGGACACTAAAATTTAAGCACGCATTCAAAAAGAGCAGTTCACATTCGGCAGTCTTTTGTTTTGTCGTCCCAACGGACGGCATCAGCGTTAATGAACAAGCAACTAGGCAACTAAGCAACCAAGTAACCAAGCAACCAATCAAGTAACCAAGCAACCAAGCAACCAAGCAACCAAGTAAGCAAGCAAGCAACCAAGCAGCCAATCAAGTAACCAAGCAACCAATCAAGTAACCAAGCAACCAATCAAGCAACCAAGCAACCAAGCAACCAATCAAGTAACCAAGCAACCAATCAAGCAACCAAGCAACCAAGCAACCAAGCAACCAAGTAAGCAAGCAAGCAAGCAAGCAGCCAATCAACCAAGCAGCCAATCAACCAATTAGGCAACCAAGCAAAATAGCAACCAAGCAACCAATCAAGTAACCAAGCAACCAAGCGACCAGATAACCAACAAATCAACTTACAAAACAAGCAGCCAACAAACCAACCAACTTAACTATCAACCAACTCACCAACCAAAACCAAACCAGCAACAACAGGCAGACCAACCATACCTACCTACCAACCTGCCTACTTAACTACNCTACGGGCGTTCCTTTATCATCTTGGGTTGATTTTGCGCCTTCTTTCGGTTGCTCTGGTTGTTTTCCTTGTAAAGAAACAATTGTTGTTGGCGATATGGCATGTTGCTATTGAATGCTTAAAGGCAAATACCAATGGTCTGGTACGTATTCAACTAAAACCTAAGCAATCGTGTGCGTGCATGGTCTGACTGTTCTCTAACAAGCCTCCCAGGCAACCAACCAACCGACCAATCAGCCAACCAATCAACCAAGCATCCAACCAAGCATCCAAACAACCATCCAAACAACAACTAACCAACCAACCTACCAAGCAACCTATCAACCAACTTGTCTCGACGATACTAAATCTTACGAACTATTTTCCCCATGAAAAGGGAAAACTCGAGTCCGAATCCTACAACCTACATTCAAGAAACACACCGATTCGAATATTAATTCATGGACAGTAAAATTTAAGCATGCATTCAAAAAGAATAGTTCACATTCGACAGTCTTTTGTTCTGCCGTCCCAACGGACGGCATTAGCGTTAATGAACAAGCAACCAAGTAACCAAGCAACCAAGCGACCAATCAACCAAGCAACCAAGTAACCAGCAAGCAACCAAGCAGCCAATCCACCAATCCGGCAACCAAGCAAAATAGCAACCAAGCAACCAAGGGACCAGATAACCAACAAAACAAGCAGCCAACAAACCAACCAACTTAACTATCAACCAACTCACCAACCAAAACCAAACCAGCAACAACAGGCAGACCAACCATACCTACCTACCAACCTGCCTACTTAACTACCCGCCTATCTACTGACCTATTAATCTCTGAAATTATAATATTCACTGAAAAAGTAATTATTTACTTATTGTTATCCGCTTGATTGATCCTCCAACCGCCTTCTGAAGAACTTCTTTGTTTTTATCGACCATTTGAACCAGTTCTTCAGGTTTGGACGGTTGTGGAGCCTTCCCATCCACAGATGGAAATAGGACAGCAAACTCAATTATCCAAGTATTTTCTCCATTAGGAGAAAGTCCAAGTATTTTGACATCAGAATCCTGAATAAATTTTGCCCTTTCGGAACGCTTAACTCGCCCAGACGTGCTGTAAGAGAAGAGGAATAATTGATAAGAGAGTAATGGACAGAGACTAAGAGCAAAACTAGACTTACAAGACTAGGACCTGGGAAGATATAGAGGTTACACCAGGGAAGGTAAGGTGAAGTTTACACTTTATCGCGGGAAATTGCAACGTTGATTCCGACTAGACGTTTCTTAGAAAAACCGTAGTTAATACAGATGAATGTTAATTAATCCGGGCAAAATGTAAGGAGCGGGAAAAACGGCAAGATTTGTGTTGGCAGGGCTACAATCGTGCAATTACGTAGCCGAAACGTTTGGTTAGGTGCGCAAACGGGAGTAACCACCTATTGAGTGAGGGTTTTCCTCGGTGAAGGCAGAAAAAGCTAACAAAGAGCTAGACAAAACAAAGAACGTTGTCGAGCTTTAAAGGCAGATTTAAAGGTGTTACCTTTTGCATTCGCCACTCTTGCAAAAGAAATCTGTACAAGCTTTTGCGATTGCAACTCTGAAGTTAAATTCAATCCATTGTTTCTGTAATAAAGCCAAGACAATCAATAATAGATTATCAGTTTAGCGGAATTTGAGATATACTACGCCGTGTGTGCAGGCACGGTTGCCTCATGGGTAGTGTGCTGGTCCCCGGATAGAGCGGTCCGGTTTCCAGCCCTGACCGTGGTCATCATGTTGTGTCCTGGGCAAGACACGTGACTTTTGGAGTGCCTCTCTGTCCAGCTATATAATTGGGTACCAGCGAATTTAATGCTAGGGGGTAACCTTGTGATGGACTAACAATCCATCCAGGGGGAAGTAAATATACTTCCAGCTGCTACATGCTACAGAATCCGGAGATAAGCGCTGGATTGATGCGGCACTAGGTTAAAACGAATACTTTGTATTATCTTTCTGTGTTACCCGATGCAATTGTTCGCTTCCTGGGCGAAAGAAAGTTAGGAAAACTTTTCGAACCAATTAATCCTCTCCTAGATGTTTCGTACAGTAGACTTTCCACTCTACTCTGTGACACTCTCAAGTTGGGAATATAGTTAGTTACCACACTACCACTCCGTACAATAGAGCTAGTTTTCCCTGTTCTTTTGCACATCACTTGTACAGGACAATTTTGAATTCAAACTGATAGATTGTCATTAAACAACCAGCACCCGTACCTCGTTTGAAAACGTTAGCTCCATCTCCACAGCACTTGAACCTAAACCAAAACAACAACAAAATTTGAGTGTTAGTTTTCTAGGAACTAACTAAGAAATTTTAATACACTTTTACCCAATATCTGACAAATTTTCTCTAATCTTTTTTGTCCACAGAAATTAGGCGTTAATTGCACACAAACAGGGTTAAATACTCTCCCTTTTTCAGGTTTGGTTGAGCCCAACCTAGTAGACGTTTTCGTCCTCTTTGCAGAACTACCTTGGCCTTGTACTTTGTACATTCTAATAAAAGTTCCTGGTCAGTTGTATTTCTCACTGCCGGGTGTGCCGCTGCGGAAACAGATAATAAGGGAAGACGGAGAAAAAATTTAATGTTTCTTTCACGGGCATTTTGACCAGTGAGGACTAACACTGCTGCCAAATTAACCTCTATCCAATGCTTCCGTCAAAAATCACGCTTCTTGAACTGAAGGAGGGCGAAGACAGTTCCTTAGACATGTTTTCAAAGATTCCGCGTGCAGTTCATAAAAAGGATCCGGATTCTCGAAAGCTATTCAGAACAATGATTTTTTATGAAATAATCTGACGGTGGAATTCAGTAAGGTCTCCTTCGAATTGATAATTGAGTTTAAACTTGAAATTTAATAACTTGCTATATGTGAATAAGTAGCTAAAATCTACCTTACCAAAACAAAACACGATATTGGTTATTACTGGGACCGTATCATCCAC